GGCTGCTACTTTATAGAGAGAAAACGTGGAACTGAACTATGAAATGAAATTGCTAAAGGAACAGGACTGGAAACAGTGCTGAGCAAGCAGAACAGGACTGGTGGGGTGAGCTGAGTTGTGTGTGTCTGCTGCAGAGCTTGTATTCAGCACTTGGGATGTGAGACCAGACAGCATAATGAATGGCATACTGGCAGTCAAAAGAAGTTCAAGCAGCTGCGAAGGGAGTATTGAAAGAAGCAATTTGTGGATCAGACCACTGACTTGCCAGAAGATGATTCAGTATTTTAAAAGGGCACTGCAGAACAGCAGAGTATGGTTTCACCTCTGAGTGCAGGGCCTAGAGACAAAGATATTGGCCCCTGGGACCTTTTGATTTGGCTCAGTCCTTTTGATTTGGCTCTGCAGGGTTTCCCAGAAGCCACACCCCTGTTCTCTCTGTATACTGCTTTGAAAAAGGAGTTGAAACAGATTGTGTTTCCTACAGTTCAGATGGCTCTGGCTGTTACCAAAGCAGTCCCCAAAAGTGGTGGGGATGTGCATGAACAGGGAAAATGCAATCAATAGTTGAGTTAATGTCAGAACAAGAAGGAATTGTATCACAGGTGCCAGGTCCCTTGAAGAGTACCCCTGCAAAGTGGATGGTGGGGCTTCTAGTGTGTGTAGGAGTGCTGGTTAAAGGTTTTAACTTTATTGCAGACACCCTTCACTCCATCCAATCAGGCAGCTTTATCAGTAGCATTTGAGGAACTCCAGCTGCAGCATTGGGTATAAAGGAGTCTGAAAGCATTACCAGTGCCCAAATTGCTGGATGGTTATCTGGAATAACAGAAAGCTGGGGAAGGACATGGTTCAGTGTACATACAAGCATCATGTTCTCTTGGCCTGCATTTTGTGAAAGAAAGCAGCTTGGAATACATTATGAAATGTTCTGGCCTGCACACGAGGCCACTGTTTATTGTGTCTCTCACCTTTGCATTCCTCTGTGAGGTGATTAATCCCAACCCTTCTCAATTTAGGCTAATGCATGTTTAGTTGTTGGGTTTGTGTTGTTTCTTTGTGTTTTGTTTTGGTTTTTAAAGCAAGAGCATTAGTGTTTTTTTCTCTGCCTTCTAGTACTCATCAATTCTGAAATAAACCAACCTTCCTGCTTGTAGCAGCTCCTGGTATTATTAAGGAAACCATTCAGTAGAGTATCTCCTCAGACTAGTCCCCTGAAAATCTTACACCTTATCAAAAATATGTTAGTTTGGTCCAAGAGCCATGGTGACAGACTGCTGCATTAAATCAGTTCTTTTTCCTCTGGATGTATTTATATAAATGAATCTCTTATTTTAAAAAATGTTCTGGAGATGATGAACTGTTTAAAATCTGACTGCCAGCGTGAACTGTAACTTGAATATGAACACCCATTTTATGGTGTGCGTACATACCAAGATTACATAAATATGTTGCACCTTTTTAAGGATGTTAGATGCATGTAAGGGATTTTATGCAAGTTAGCTATTTTTGTACTTAGTATTTTTTCAGTACCTTTTTGCTCAAGACCATAGCTCACAATGCTTAAAAGCGAAAGAGAACAGGCTGGCAGGAACAAAGGAGACTGGATATCTGACCTGTTTACAACAAACATGTATACAGTTACAACAAAACACGTATACAGCAAAATGAGAAAGGTAACACAGAAGGTATCAGGGAGAAAACAAATGAAACAGTCTGTTAGAGTCTTTTTTAAATGTAGCCATTTGAAGATTGTGCATGAGCTAATGAGCAAATATTAATACAGTGGGAAATCAAGTCAGATGTCAACCATATGCCACCGTATCAGAAGAGCCCAAAGAATTTACCAACCAGACTTATTTCTCATTTTACACACAGCTGAAATGGGTGAAGTTGATGTGTTTGTCTGTAATGGAGCAAATTAATATGTGGCCACAGGTAAGTATTTATAATGTGAGCAAGAAATTTTGGTGTTCATGATCTGATTTCCCCACCAAACAGGACGTAGATAAAGCTGCAACAAAAAAAAAATCACTATGTGATAATATCATGCACATCATGCAGTACAAAAACAGAAAAATCTCAATTTAAGAAAAAAATATTCTGCAATGACTATTGCAACTGACAGGGAAAGTAAGTATGTCATTAAAGCAAACAGCTGCTACTGCATATGATGACCTGTTAAGGGTTACCTTCTTTAATTCTTCAACTTATTCTGATGATCATACAAAAATGGAGGGAGTTTATAGGTTCTTTAAAATTTGTTTTAAAAATCCCTACAGTTCTTTCACAGAATGAACCCCTTAGTATAAAGCTTTATCACAGGAATGCAATTTCACATGCAAGAAAACCCAGTTTTGTTTTAATGAGGAGAAAAAATTTGTTCCATTAGAAAACAAGAGATCTCAAATAATCCATTTGAATTATGTTTTATCAGAGTAATTTGCTCCTGTCATTACACTTCCATGCACAGAATTTCAGAAAGACATTCCAGCACTAACGTTTTAAATAGCCACGTTCCAGTGCATGCTCAAGGATGCATTTTAACTCTTCAAAGAGCCCATTATGTACTCTGGGTTGCTGCCTACTGAATTACTTACAGAGATTTCCTCAACTGCAAGTTGTTGGAACTAATGTTTTATAGTTATTCCGCACCTGACTTTAAAGCATCTATGGGATACTAAATTAGGCTGGGTTTATTCTAAACCAGTGTTTTAAGGAGACATGGCTAGTTCAGTAATGGGGCCTACCATGTCTAGGCAACTCCGATGACAAATAAAAATGGAAACTCAACAAGTCAGGTATTTTGGAAATACTGCACTGTTTGGGAATTTACTACAATTTCTAATTTTAAAAAAGGTAGCTCAACACTGCCTTGTCAGAATTGGCCCTGGTAGCATATGTGGTATTTCATCCCTTTAAAATAAAACCTAGAATCTCAATAAAATTTAAAAGAAAAAGCAATAGATTTGAAAGAATAGGTTCTTTAAAAAAAAAACCAGCCTTGCATGCCTCGCTCAGTGCTCAATCACTTCAGACAGAATATGAAAATCTGAGGTTCCAATTAGAAAAGGATTACTCAAAAGTAAAACATGCGAGTCATCACCTAAACTGAAAATACCAAACAGTAAAACTAATGCATTCTTAATGTTCTTTCAGTGTTATAATTAAACACATTTGAAACGTAAGTGATCTGGCATAAATTATGCTTACTCTGATAATACCCAATTAGAAATTTTGTATGTTAGCAAAAGTCACCTTCACTAAATTATGTAACATAGTCTCTGCCAAATTCTGAAGGGGACTACAAGAGCTAACTTCATTGTGTTAAGTAAGTTAATAGTCTCCAAATACAAGGGCATGCACGACTACATAGAACTCAGGCCAAATATATGCAAACTACATTCTTTAGTTAGGATTCATATCATAGCCAGTATGATGAGACACTTTATTTAAAAAATAGTAATTTAGAAAAAAAAAAAGAACTGTCTGGTTTAGCCTGGTAGGTGCTCTTTGTCTCACAGCCACCTGTACCTGAAGGAATAAAGGCAGGACAGGGATTGTGACCTGATAGTGGGACTCAATAAGAATGAAAACGTGGAGCCAGGAATTATGGCAGTCCTTCAGTGAAGTCCTGTGGACCAGAGAGCTATCAGAAGGTGGTTTTTACCCACCATTGCTGTGGTGAACTCTGAAGACTGCTTTGTGTTACTTTAACGGAGGGTTCGGTCAGAAGAGCTGTCCTCACCCAAGATGACAGGTGGTGACAGTGTGAAAGGAATTTGAACTCTGTATTTTTGAAGCATTCTGCTTTGATTACAACTGCTATCATTACGCTTCACATTGACACAAGAACTGGTACTTTCTGCTATTCTCAGCGTTTCTCACCTTCCTGAGAACCTAGAACTGCATTACTTATTGAGTGAGTCTTGGTGGAGCTGAGCTCCATCTAATGACTAGCACCTTTTTCTAAGAACTCCACATGTATTCAATAGACTAATACCAAAAGAGACTATTTGTTAAAAAAAATAAGTCATTGCGTCAGGCAGCAGTAAAGGGTTTGGAAACTACTGGTCTCCCTTTTGGCAGGTATCTGTATAGAGAGCCTTTAGCACTCACGCCAACTGGCTCTACCAGCTCCTGTATTCAGTATATTTCTACAGCTTCAAGATGTGCCAATATACAGCATACAGAAACTCTGCATTTGCATTCAGACCACAACAGAATTTAGACTTGCTTACCACAAGTTTAGCCCCTTGTTCCACAGAAACAAGCAGACACTGGGAGTCTTAACTCACTGACAAGACATGCATCATTATACCTTACCTTGGCTAAGGGAAAACTTTCAAATTCCATTCACCCGTCTTTCTCCAGAGCTATCTCAGTTACGAGCACATCAGTTATGAATGAGTGAGGTACACCTCCCCTTACCTGTTCTGGTGTATGGCAAGCTGCCTCCTGCTCAGGTCAATTCTTCCCACACCCCAGAGCTGCCACCACCACAGGACTGCGCATGCAGTTGGTTTGTGGAAGGACTGGGAGGAAAAAAAAAAGAGCTGCTCTTCTGACCAAAAACTATAATTTTGTATCATTAATTAAACAAAACCAGTGAATACAGAACTTGGAAAGCAAGTTTTACTTCTTTTTAGGTTTGAGAGTGCTCTGCTGTCCTGGCTGATCCTGTGGTAAGTCTGCCCATGTTCAATAGTAAAATATAAAGTAGTGACGTTCGCTGATTACTACAACAGGTATTGTCCAGTCCTCATTTTAATGGTCTCTTCTTGATTTCGGTCACAGACGTACCCCTGTTAGAGGGAATCAGAACCCAGCACTCACATCTTTAGGACTTCCTATCAGTACATCAGAACGTCAAGGTGGAAATACATACAGATTCTTCACTGTGCCAAATGTAGATGTGCAGGCTCTCAAAACAAACGTAGTAACGTAAATTCAGATAGAACACCCTCCTCTGAAGCCTTATAAAAATACCAGTGCAACATAGAGCCATTTTACAAAACAAATATCTTTATAGAAAGGTATTTTAGTGGTATATGCTGAGGTAAATAATAAAAACAGACCCAACAGAGGGCATGACCAGTGTTATGGAGAACTCCGGATGAAATTTGGCCAAAAGGCTATTTGTTTTATAAAAGCTAATATTTACCTACCAGTTATGATCCCTGGTAAGGCGCTTATTGCTATAATACTTCAAAATTATTCTTCAGTTTACAAATTGAAAAATATACGAAATTAGATCTGTATGAATGTTAGGTATTAGCTGTCACAAATTTTAAAAGGCATTGTACCAAGTTTTCTTAATTGTTTACTAACCAATTTGATTGTAGCAGGTAAATAAACTACAGCATACATTTTACCTGACACCATGCATCAAAATCACCATAAAAACTAAGTTTATCAAAGTCCAACTCCACAAGAAAAACATGAAAAAGTGCAAATTATGTACCCAGTATTTCTGTCACAGCTGTTTTTTCTTAATATGGCATGAAAAAGGTTTACAGCATATATTAAGAAAATTCTTACAAGTGTTCACCTCAATGCTTATATATATACAACATTTTGCTCAAAGTGCTCACTATATGAAAAAACTGATTGGATAAAAATATTAAACAGTGCTTTCTGAACGTTCAGGGAAAATTCATGTAATACATCAGTCCCGTTTGTCTTCCTCTTCACTCAGTGCAATGAGATGCAGAAGTCACATCAACTTCATGAAAACTTTCCTTGCCACATTGCCAGAAAACCTCAGTTACAGTGGCATTCTTGGCGTCCCATTGGGAGTTGGTCTTTTGTTTTTTTGCATGTGGCTTTGATGTTTTCGAGATCTCACTACTTTCATTCTCACTTCAAATACTTCTTGTATGGCTTTTCGAAAACAATGGAAATTGTAGTCTATTAATCCTACAGAGACAGAAATATTTTTCACATTAGTAAAAACATTTATACAAATCAGGTCATGAAAAAATTGCTTATGTTCTACATATAGTGAAGTAACACACTGAAGGTCATAATCAGTGACTTTTACAGGCATTTTTTTCTGTGCTAAGCAAAAGCATGTTTGATAAATATACATGATCTAGTGAGCATTACAGTTCCATACTGTCTGATATTAAATATACTTATTAGCCTTAAGAAAAACCAAACAGAAGTTCACTGGCAGATAATGAAGTTTAACTTAGAAAGACCTTTGAAGAAGTGCTCAGTATACAAGAAAAAAATTAAATCTCTCATAGAATACGATGTCATTTTGTAAATTTGCCTTCCAGAATAACTGATAAAAATAAGAAACATCTAATAATCAGGATTTTCATTTTTGACAATGGATATTTGATAGAAATATTACCAAGTAACAGCCAGCTATACTTCATCTTACATTGTAATTTAAAAATAACAGGCACGCTGTTAAGATTATATATATACATAACAAGGAGATAACGTTACCTTGTGAGTGTGCTTAATGTAATCCCACAGAAAAGCTGTAAAGCCATACTGGTAGTCACTCGGAAGACTTACTGGGTGTTACAACTGTGTAATACTGCACTACAATTTTAGAACTTTGGTATTGGGCTTATGACCTCATTCAAAGTTAACATTAAAGCTTTCTGAACTCAAATATTACTGCATTTTTCACTTCAATTTCCCTACCAGGAGACGATACATATTTTAAGTGGTTTAATTCCACCATGTTACACTTCTGTTTTTTTCCAGGAATTATTTTCCCTCTCCCCAGAGTTCAGCAAAATATTATGTGGAATATCATCTGGCACCAAAAGCTAATCTTTACAATACCCAAACTGTACTGGTAAAGAATACAGGCTACAGCACGTAGCATGTAGACACAACAACCTGGTACAGTTGTGGACAAACCCAAATGGGTGTTTATTCAACATGGTATCTTTTCTGAAATAGTGTTCTTAGTAGGTATGTTGAAGTAACACTTCTTACTCTTACAGCAGAAAATGACTGCATCTAGCAGTCATAGATAAAAAAGGTAGTACGGGTATGAAAGAGAAATTCAACCAGTTGAAGTTCTATAAAATAAAAGCTAAATAGCCTGTCACACCGTCAGCAGCCATGGTACGAGTACTGCATTCACACATCAATGCTTACTGGTGAATTAATATCACAAGATGGGGACACAGCCCAGATGATCACTCACTCTTCCATTGCTCAGTTCATGTCTCTAAGACCAGTAACTCAGAGCAAGCAGAACGATCACAAACTATGCTTTCAGTATTGACCTTGGCCAGGGTCAGAAAGATAATCAAGAAATTTTATGCACTTCAACACAAAGTATGAAAGCCACCTAGGCACCAAATATCAAAAGCCTCTTTTCAGAGATGAGAAAAGCAAGAACATATTTCTTTCTATCAGAGTTTGAATAATTTCCCCTTGGTTATGGCACACAAGCTGTCCCAAATGCGTCTGCTGGCGCCCACAGGTACAAATCAACGTTAGCCAAGAAAAACTGACACATTCTACTGTTGCAGATGGAAGCTTTACTGCAGTTGTTGTAAACTTTCATACACTTTCATATCAGAAAGTTGTCAAATACATTTGTGATTTCATCTTATCTTAATGCCAGCACAAATACTTCATGCCTTTCAACATGTTATGTAAGCTCTATCAAACTACACTTACCTTTAATATTTGGGATAAAGCTAGAGACTGTTATCAGCTAATGGCAACCATAGTTATTCATTAACTCACTAATATAAAGGAAAAGTAAAGCAATACTACAAAAGAGAAAAAATACCTTTTCTCTCAAAGCTTTCTTCTCTGACAAAACAAACAAGAGCAAGGAATTTTGTCACCTCTTTTAAATAAAGGACAGTTGTATTGTTCAGTTTTATGATTGCCATTGATTCCTTGTCATAAGGAGTTCCAGTGCCATCATCTTTTAGCCTAAAGGACAATATTCAGACAAACAAACAAGAAAAGATAAGCCACCAGATGAGCTAACAGAAATACTCCCACACTGGCTCCTTCACCAGATAATCTCAAATTTTATGAAATTTTCATTTTAACCTTTCAGGGAGACTCTTCTTCAAACTAAGTGCAATGCCAACTAAGAAGACATAAAGGTTAACTCATTTACCCTATCACACACCAAATCTTAGATTTGAGGCTAGAAATCAGATTGTTTGATTGCCAGGTGCCTGAACTGGAGCCTTATTTTACCCTCTGTTAGTTACCAGACATTTACTGCAAGGTTCTCATATCGCTGTGCTATATTATGACTTTATCTAAAACCTGTGAACCATTAAGTCTGTATTGGTAATTCTAAATCCAGTAACCTTGCCTGAGCAGTGGCAGCTGACTGATAGTTTAAGCCATCATGAGACTTTCATCATGAGATGCTGGCTTTTGCAATATCACATCCTGAAAAGAGATTTCTCCCTAACAGATGATGTGTCATGATGATAACTTTATTAGTTTCGTACCTTGTAATTTTACTCTCATTCCTGAATACACATACAGATCTTATCAAATGGGTTATCACCAACCTCCCAGAACAACTAGTATCAATAATATATTAACGTAGCAAGTTCCACAGATGCTCCAGGAACAGAGGACAAGAAATAAATTGTAGTACCATGTTGTAGGACTATAGCTAAAAACATGGCAAGGAGATTTCTGGTGATAAATGCTAAATAGTTACACAAAGACAGTGGCAAGGTAACATTCTGTTCTTGTGCAGTCACTAAAGTGACTCAAGGATCTGAACACAGTAGAATGTATAAACTTAAGAGAAAGGTATTTAACAATTTGCTGTTAAGTTCTAATGCTTACTGCACAGCTGCACTAAGATTCTTTTTTGTACTCTTGAAGAGGGCAAGAAATCCCTCAGTGGGTAAGAATGCAAGACTACTAGCACATTTTAAGCATGCTGCAGTTTAGCCTGCAAGTCTAATGTATCTTAATGCACTAAATCTTAAGGTGTCCCTGCCTTTCCTAGGAGTAGCTCCCATTACATTTGGCCAGGAGCCAAGCCATTTAAAATGTAACTTGCAAGGAGATGTACATGCTACCCCAGGAGATCTCCAATTGCTAATGTGTAAGAAAGGGAAAATGAAAAATAAAAGAAAATAATAAAAAAAAAAATAATCAAACCACAAAGGTCATGCAGGGAGAAGAAGACAAACTGAAGGAAGAGTGAAGCAGCATTCTGAGGCCAACAGAGGCCACTAGCTATTAAAGTAAATAAAATTAAATGTGGCCCCACTTTTTTTTTAAATGGGAGGCATCCTTCTGTTGCCTTTGTCCCTGGGGAACAAAAAGATAACGTTTCCTTTTTTTTTGAGTGAGTTACTTCCCACTCCTTCCTCCAAATAAAAATATCACCATAAAAAGAGGATAGTGTTCACAAAAGAGGCTGGGCAGAGGAACAGTGCTTGTTGCTGGCAAGGGATCTATTCCTCTGAGGCCTGCTGCTTCCTCCCTCTCTTCTATCCTGACAACTTACTCTGGCAAATTACACATTCTCATTATTGTTTATACTCACATCACTCTAATTTTGAAGCCATTCAAATTCTAGGTACAGAGTTTTATGAAAAACATTAGCAATTCACTTACCCATATATACAAGAAATGTCAATCACAACATCTATCATATCACAGCAGAGCTCGTAAGTTTGCATATCCACTGGAGTACTGTCCGTTGCAATATAGATCTTACTGACTACATCAAATAAAAATGCTTTTTCAATCCCAGAATTCTATTTAAGAGAAGAAGAAAGAAAAATAAAATGGAAGCCATGTTTTCAAATTAATACGAAGCTTACTGGTTCCCCTACTTGCCTGTTACACAAAAGCTATGCTGAAGAAATGCAAGTTAAACTGCAATCAAGCTCATTTTGAAAGAACTATACATACAGCACTGTCATTTGTAGCAAACCTTGATGCTCATAGACCTCCCAACAGTTTCTGCCTCTGAGCAGACGTAACACCAAGTTACACTCCTAAACTTCCCCTCTCTGGAAAACATCTGGAGAGATTACATTTATTTTCAGTGAAAAATGCAGGGGGGGGATGTAAATCTTCCAAGATCAGGCTTTGAGGGGCTTTTGATTGTAGCAATGGACATAAAAAGAGAGCTGTCATTTAAATGTATTCTAGCTGGACATGTAAGCAGGTAGAAAGAAGAAAAAGAAGAGGCTGATGGACAAAGATAGTAGTGTTTGAGAACTAATTTCTCAAGGAAATTGAGAAATTGTCTCATCAGGTTCTGTAGCTGGTTTACTGTCTGACTCCTTAAAACCTCTTTTAGAATCACAGGAGCAAGCCCAGTATTTTGATGATGCTCTTTCAGTTTTCACATAGCATTGGTGGTTAAGGCCATGTTTGTAATGCTAAAGCTTGCTAATGTGATGACAGCTATGTTCCTGCCAAGCTGATTAAGACTCTCTCCGTACTGGAGATGTATCATATGTAAGATGCCATGAGCCTCTGCTTCCTGGAAAAAAAAAAAAAAAAAGAGGAAAAATGTGTATGGCTTAACTGGGAACAGTAGACTTGCCTGCTGGTATCAAGGGATTGCACCTGGGCACCTGTCCCAGCATGAACACAAAGGGCAATTTCCCAGTACTGCTAAAGCGCAAGCTATAAAATATGCTTCAAAATCCATCTATACAGGAAGAAAAGCAACTTTCTCCCATCAAACCAAGTTTTCTCCATGTATGGGCTTTCCTTTTTAATATGGTTTGGACTGCTGCCACAGCTACCAAGAAACACACTGCAAACCCCTAACAAGTTTTAATGGCTTCAGCTTCCTTTGTAGTTACAGAACTTTGCCTTTTTTCTTCTTTCTTAAGTCAACTATTTATCACACAGTTAAGAGACTAGAGTGACCCTCTCACTTTCCAAATTTCCTGAAATAGGTAGAAATATGTCAACACTAGGTATGCTATTCAACAATGGCCAGCAGTATTTGGGGCATTTTCTTCTTAAAGAGGCTGAATTTTTCCACCATTGTACATACAGCTAAGGCTGGAAACATCCATCAATAACAACAGATTATAGAGGTGAATTTCTTGCATTTCATTATGGAAGACTCCTTGAGTGGCACATTTCAGCAACTCATTAGCAAAAATAATATTCAAAATAATGTATACACTGTGGGTATCTTAGGTACATGGGCTGAAGCACATGATGTACACTGAAAGTCTCAGAGAACTGTTTTTTTTCAGCCTGGAGAAGGCTTATTGTTATCTACAAATACCTAATATAAGGGTGCTCAGAAGATAGAGCCAAATTCTTCTCAGAGCTACAATGTTGAATGACAAGAGGCAAAAGTACAAGCTGGAATTCTGACTTGATACAAGAAAAAAAAACCAATAGCATTAGAGTGGTGAAGCACTGGGAGCACACTGACCTGAGAGTTCGTAGTTTCCAACCTTGGAGATACACAAAGCTAAACTGAACCCAGCCGTGAGCAACCTGCTCCAGCTTGCCTGACTCCGAGAAGGAACTGACCTCTGAAAGTCCCTGGCAGCCTACATGTCTCTGTGAGTCTGTGTTTTCTGAGCACTAAGAACAAAAATGTATGTATATTTATTTTGGTTATTCTGGCCATATGCAGTAGTTTTTAAATAATAATTCTGACAGCACCTCACATACTTCAAATAAGCCAAGATCCACCTGTAAATATAAGTATATAGCCATAATTCATTGCCAAAATACATATTTGAAAATACAAAACCTTTTAGACAAAGTAAGTTGGAACTCAAGCCCTGTACTGTCATTCGTGAGGACTCAATTATAAAATTGCGTATGATAGACAGATCATGATCATTTCAGCTGTACAGGTAAGATGTAAATTATTATGATGCAAGTGACAATATAATAACATTTAAGAATGAGAAGTGATTTTTCTATCTCAGAACTCCAGCTGCTACAGCCTGCCTGTATTTGCAGTGACAGTTTAAAAAGTTTTCATCTTAAGATGCTATGCCTGCTGGAAAGGGCAGACCTTGGTGTGTTAAACTATGCTCATTTTCAATTGAAACTAATACATCATGGTAGGTCAGGCTGAGAAACTTACTTCTGTTGAACTTTGTATGGTGACAGAAACCTCTGTGAAAGGGTAGGATGGACTACCAGGAATAGTGTAAAGAATACGAGAATGATTCGTGTCAAGAATTTAGGAATCATTGTTACCAATGCACCTGTGACCAGTGTACCATGTGTGGAATGTACAAAAACGACCTTGATTATAATAAATGTTGCTGTCAATGTAATGATGGGAAAGAAGAAGAAATGGGTCAGTTATTAGACGACCCTTTGGGGGTTTCCGAACGATTAGATCAGTTTTTAGGCCCTAATATTTATACATGGGAAGAGATACAGTCAATATTGGGAATATTATTTACTGCAGAAGAAAGATTTATGATTAGGCAAGCCGGAATGTGAAAATGGGAGAGATGACATCAACAGGGTCCTCCTGGAGAGCAAAAATGGCCTAAGCAGAATCCCTATTGGAATAATCAGAGTGGCCATGACAGACAAAGCATGGCAGACTGTTATAAATGCATTATTAATTGTTGTCTCTGTTACAAGTGTTGTAAGATTTTGGTCTTGTGATTTTGGTGTTGGTGACAGACTTTTATAACTGTTAATTGTTAGTTTGATACAATGTTAGTCTCTGTCTCGAGTGCTGTAACTGTGTGGAGTGTGTCTGTGGGATCCTGTGTGTGTGTGTGTGTGTGTGTGTGAATGCGAGACTGATACTAGGAAATCAGCAGAGTGGAGAGATCTTGAAAAAGAATCCTTTAGAGTGCATTTTGGGCACATTTGAAAGAACTGGGTTTCCTGGGGACTCGGTAAATGAGAAAACGTTGATAAAATATTGTAACCAATGATGGCTTTTGTATACTTTGGAAAATCAGGAAAATAGCCTAAAAATGGAACTTTAAACTATGATACATTGTTACAATTAATGTTGTTTTTGAGGGGACAAGGAAAATGGGATGAAGTAATGTATGCAGGTATGTTTTTTCACTTTAAGAAATCACCCCAAGTGACAGATGAAATGCAAGATTAATATAGCTCCGACAGATTCCTTAATTTTGGCTTTAGAAAAGGATAGGGAAAAACTGAAAGTTAAGTTGACGATGTTCAGCCTTTGATATTGGGGAAAGATGTTTAAAGTTAAAAAAAAACAGTAATTGGGAAGATAGATTAGAAAATCATGTATCACTGATACCTCCAAGAGGATCACCCTCTGCATCTGTCCTATCTGATATTGATAAGGATGAAGAGATTGCTGTCACTGGCAACAAGCGGCCCATTCACATTCAGAGTTAAGAAGGGGTTAAACCAGAAGTGCTGTTTCAGAAGTAGGCATCTGCAGCCCCTGCAGAGCAGGGTGAGCACCTGTGGGGAAAAAAAAAAAAAAAAAAAGGGGGGAAAAACAAGGAGGAAAAGTGGGGGGAGCTTGAGTAGCTCCTGTGTTTGAGCATGGGATGAGTGCTGGGGCAGGCAAACAAGTGGGAACGACTGACAAGGAACCTGGGGCTTTTACCCTAGCAGATCCACTGGTTAAATTAAAACTAGGGGCTAGAGGAAATAAAGTGGAATTGTAGTGGATACAGGAGTAACTTATTCAGCGTTAAATCAGAGGGAAAAGATCTTTCTGAAACTCTTAAAGTACAAATTGAGAAAACAAATAGGAATGCATAAAATTTTTATGCATCCTAAATTCTCCGAAATCTTTATTAGGCCAAGAAGCAACATTTAAAGAAGGCAAAATGGAATTAAGAGTTAAAAATCAGTTAATTGCAGTTTTGAGTTTATCTTTAATTCAACAAAAAAAAAGCGAACAGGAGGACCTCCCTGAAATAGAAGAAATACTTAATCCAGGTATATCTGGGAGTATGGACATCTGAAATACCAGAAACGACAGTAAGAACTCCTGAAAAAGGGTGGACACACGCGTCACAAGTAAAAGGACCCATAAAAAAATGGAAAGTTGTGACTGAACCTGGAGGCACCAAGATGACCCTCAAGAGGACTTAAAATAAGTAACTGAGGGAATTCATATTGACTCTTGTAAATATTTATGGGAAAAACAAATACAACCGACATCATTTCAACAAATAATAGGATAAGGACCAATATCAATCCATGTCCTATCTGTAAACATTGCAACCTATATATTAGGGCAAGATGTCCCAAATGCTCAAATTACATTATTACTCGTAGAGAAGACGAAGAACAATTTCTGAGGAATCAATTACAGTTCCTTGGCATTCGGTGTGAAACTACCACCTTGTTGGAACAGTTGTTGTGGGTCAAATACCTACCAGAGAGGCCAAGACCGGAGGGAATCGGTGCTGCAGCTGGAAAGGTCTGCCCAGGGCTGCAACCCCTGGGGCTGTGACCGCTGAGCACTATGATACTGACCGGACCTCTTTTGGTATTGGTTCTGATAGGAACCATACGGGAGAATGCCGTGGCTTCTAAAAGCATTCCCAACAACTGTAGTGAATGCACTACCACAACTAGACAAAGGAGAGTAACCTCTCAGACGCTGGTCTATCACACCGCATATGTATGTAAAGGAACAATAATCGACTACTATATATATAACCAAACCCAACATGGACTTTGTAAAGAAAAAAAACCAATTGAAACGATATGTTTTAATCCAAAAGAACTCCTCTATCAATATTGGGTAGAAATAAGAACAAACTCAGCAAAAGGAAGACTAACAGCAGAAAGCCAAATAATAGCTAATTTAAGTCACCCTGTATGGGTAACTTTTGATGCCTGTGACACTATTGATGATAATTTTTATTCCAACTATGGAAACTTGAATTGGAGAAGATATTATGGGGGACGTATTCAATTCCTTTTAGCATGAAATGGAAACAGGAGTCCAATATGAAATTCCCACAGTTACTAAAAATCTCTTTGTAAATCTTACTAAAAATATAACTAAAGCATTGAATGTAACCTACTGCTATGTTTGTGGGGGAACCCACTCATTGGTAATATTAAAGACTAAAGCAACTCCAATATTATCCGCAGCTCGAAAGGCAGTTATTAGATTAGAAGCCAAGCCACGAATCAGTAAGTTACATAAAAACAAATGGGGAAACTGTAAAGAATACGAGAATGATTTGTGTCAAGAACTTAGGAATCATTGTTACCAATGCACCTGTGACCAGTGTACCATGTGTGGAATGTATAAAAACGACCTTGATTATAATAAATGTTGCTGTCAATGTAATGATGGGAAAGAAGACGAAAGAAGGGAATAAGCTAGTCCCCTCTTTAATCATTTAGACTATTAAAACAATAAGGAACGCTTTTAGCTTTGTTTAGCTGCTTGAATGCTTTAAGGGGTTTAAGTAACCAAGGAGACACATCCTGTTAAATATACGGGTCTAAGATTGTGGTTAAGCTTGTGATCTTTCTGTTAATGTATTACCGAGAAGTTTCAGTATGTTTCTTTACCTGGAGAGAAGACCCCAGCAACGAGACAGAAACAAATGAAAAGGAGCCACAACGAGTTTTGGGCAAAGAACACAACAGGACTGGCTAGAACTCAAAACCAGGAACTGAAACCCTGGACCAAGAAGTATAAGAGACTGTACCCCAAAAACCCCGGTGTGCGTTGTTGGCGGAGCGGAGACTCCCCACGCAACCAGCGCTGCTTGCTTATTGCCTCTTGATATTAATCAATTGTAATAAAATAATTAAATCAGATCATGGCCAAGGCTAAATTTTTATAACAATAGTAACCACTAAATTGTACCAACATGACTGCAAAGACTTAATTTGCCAGAGTTTTTAGTACAACTAAAAAAAGCAAAGGATTTGGCAGAATGCTTGTGAGGAAATTGCTTGAGGGAAAACAGTACCAGCACAAACAGGTCATAAAAAACCAGGAAACAGTGGACAAAATATACTCTTCAAAGAGATATTACCGCATTAATGCTCAGTCAGGGAAAATGACAGTAAGAAATCAGCTGTTTCTGTTACTAGAGGAGGAGTGTTCCTTATTAGAGAAACAAAGGCCAACAGCTGCCTTATGCAATTGAATGAAATGCTGCTATTGATCTCAATGAGAGCAGGGTCAGACTAAGCACTAGTTACCTCTGACACAACCCTACAGCTTGGAAAGAAGATGGAACATGAGCTAGAAGCTCTATCAAGCACTCTGAAGTGATGTAAGAATACTCTATGGCTAATATGAACCAAGACAGTCATTGTGAAAGATCTGCAGTGAATAGATGGGATTTTATTTTGGATAGGTAAAAACCATGACGTAGCTCAAATTCAAACCGCATTTCTCAGCTACTATGGGTGTGGTAAAGTAGGCAGTTTCTATTCTTTAAATGGAATGGGTTCAATAAAACTGGTAGCATTACTCCAGTTCCTAGGTTAGGTAAATGGGCTTTTTTCCTTCTTGAAAGCAGGAAGAGTAAGCCAAAATTTGGCCCTAAAAACTCATTTTTAGAAGACTTTACAGAACATCACCAGTTACAGTTAGGAATGAAATCTGGTCAGTTATTTTAACAGGTCTTACAGCAAACAGCAGACTTCATGAATTAATTTTAATTTTAAATTCTACATTTGAGTTTACATATTATTAAATTTAAATAAACAAATCTGTACTTAATCTTATTGCTACCATGATAACGCATTGTTTGTTTTTAATACATACTTTTTAACTTTCCTCCAAGAAAAAAAAACCCAATAACCCTAAAATCAGAATCCACATTCCTGTTTCACGCAAATTGATTGAGTGGTGACAGTAGTGGTGAAGTGGTGAAGAACAGACACCCTTCTATATGAAGTGGTAAGAGTGTTAGTCAGGTGAGATTTACATGGGGTTTGAATGCCAGATCAACTACTATTTTATGATTTACAAGTAGTTACATTAAAGAAAGTAGAAACAGTATTATCACACTGATGGTTCCTCAAATGTGTAAGTGAACAAACTGTGGCACTACAAAGTTAGGCAAAAACCTGCTGTGAACTTAAGAGTGATCACAGTTCTATTTTTGTAGCCATCAGCTTTTTGTATTGCAAGCCTCCATGGCATAAATGAAAGCATATCCTCATGACACATTGCTTCAAAACCCAAACTAGAACACCAATACACGCACACCGGCTTCCTGAGGCATAGCATGACCACTGTCAAGATTTGTTGTCACAAAGTTGCTAAAGTAAAGAGGCTCTCACTAATTCTGGAGAGTGATGTTTACTCTTCCTGTGGTGGCAAATAGTCATTCTAAGTCTCCTGTCTATAGATAGAAGACACTTGTAAAAACAGACAAGACACAGTGATGCAGCTACACCTTGCTCAAGGTCATTAACAAAATGGACTTTGCTCTCTTTGGAGATAAGAAGCAGCCTGAGACTCTCCATACTGAATACTGCAGTGTACCTCTCTCACTTATTTGGACTTCTCATTCATTTGGAAGACTTGCTCTTCCTCACAAATTACATCTGCTATTCTAGATATTACTGGATCTGGATGTTCCAGAAACACAAACAACTGTCGTCAGTCATTCAGGAAGCAGGCTGTGTTTGATTCATCTTGTGGTTTGGTACAAATTCTTTGCCAGCTCCAAACACTGAGGAGACTCCATATAGAGATCTAACAAGCAGCATGAGTGAATGGAGTGACTGGCACAAGGAGGACTACCATTCAGATAGCTTTCTCTTTAAGACTGTGTAGCATATTCAATATCAAATTGCTGCAGAACTGTTGTCATCACTCTTTTCATTACCTTACTGTCCTAAGTCTGGGTTTGAGATTCAATGGTAACTGCTACACAGTCCAGCCATCTTGGTACAAACAGATTTTTGTAACAATTACGAAATAATTAGTAACATTATGAAATAGCTAATTTGTTCCTCAATAGTAAAAGAGTGAGTTTTGGACAGACTTTCCTCTAATCCTAGCTCTCCCTTTCAGCAACACATCCAACTTTTTTCTCTCTCCGCTTTCACAGCCTACGCTGAGAAACTGTGAAATCTGATTTTATCTTACAGGCTGTTGAATAATATTAAGTAAGTTCATTACATCAAAATCACAAAAAGGCACAACAAAATACCATGTTTGGAAACTGGAGCTTGAGAAATTAATACTAGATGGAAGGTGCAAAATTAGAATACTGTGAGAAAGCATACAGTTTCAGAAGCTGCTATAACCTGACTTAAGGACCACCAAAACAAGAGTTCCCCCTTTTCAAAACCTACTGTGCTCCCCTTTGCTCATGACCACATGTTCCCAACTCTTATCTTGTGCCAAAACAACAGCATGTCTGACTCCTCCATGACCTGCTTTTAATTGAACAGTGCATTAGTGTGTGTCACAGTGACTCCACGAGGGATATGGAGAGTGTCAGTACCAGTACGAAGGACAGGAAGGGATCACACATACAGGAACAGTGGAGCAAGCAGTTTACCTCCACAATGATAACAAGCCACTAGGTATACAAAGCTTCAGAGTATACTGCCCTTCAGAGTAACTACAGAAGCGGTGAAAATTGTGAAGAACTCTACCTCTAAAAATGTCAAGACAAGAGAAGAGGTAAACTTTGATACAAAGTAGAATTAATTCTAGGAAGCACTACAGACAGCTCTACATAGGAGGTCAGACTAGATAATGTTAGATAATGCTCCTTGAGGAATTTATTTATCCAAATTTTAAGTACTACTTAAATGCATGCAGCACAGACCTTTGCAACATTCAGATTAATGTATGAGCCGAAAAGTTATGACTACTAACCCACTCTGTATGATTCAGGAAATACTGTGAGTATCTCAGCAGCTCAGCAACACTGTTTTATCAGGCAGAGAGGAGAGGCTAAGCTGCAGTGGGTGCATTTCAACTAAGTTCCGATAATTCCTCTGAGAGTTCATATTGCTCATTATCTCTGAGAAGGCAGTGAACAGAGTATCATGCATGTTGGACACAGCCGGATCTACAGACAAAGTATATAACAAGTACTTACTGAAATAAAGATGTTAAGCAGGTTTTCCAGTGTTGGGAGCTGTGGAATCAGTTTCTGTACCACTTTGCTAAATGCTTCAAATATAGAATGATCATATATGCTTGTCAGATAAAAGCTGGAAAAAAACGTTACCACATTTTCCTTTTAGCCACATACTGTGAACATGATGTACCTTTCATAATATGAGTGAAATGAAATATTGTCAAACAGCAAGTGCCTACACTTCTGCAATTACACCTTGTGATCAAAAATCACATTATGATGGAAGCATAGAACTTCATCACTGTTTAAGAAAAAAGACAAACTAGACACTGCAAACTAGACCACCTTGATGTAGAACATCATGATGCAACTCCCACCTTGGTTTTCTTATGAAAATACTTTTTAAATTGCATGAGAGGAATATTAGAGGTATGTATGGTTTAATCTACTTCTTAAAAGCTGTGGACCCATTTATCAGTGCAATGATGCAGTCAAGTAGTTAAGAGCAGGAAAAAGCTAGCATGTTCATAGAGCAAGTCTCTCTTTTTAATATATTTGCACTTGGCTTTAAGTGCTAAGAAAGCCAGGACAATTTGATGTCCTCTAGTTCCACTAATCCACTAATTTTTCATTATTTGCTACAATACTCTGCTTTATCAGCAGACTTAAGGCAAAGATGCAGCACCTGTCTTCCCAAATGGCTCCAAGCATGCTGCAGCAGGTAAGGACTTGAGATTGGGAGGGGACTGTGAGGCAAAAAGGTTCAAAAGCAGCAAAAATGATGTAGGTGACGTATACACTCTACTGGCTGGAGTTCTACTGCTTGCTGCCACTGTCCAAGCAACTTATTCCAAGACAGCAGCTGCAGCAAAATGGGTAGGACTCTGGCATATCTGTCATCTGGTTTTAAGCACATCTCTCCATCTTTCTCTCCAAGACAGCATCAGAAATAAGATACTTTGTTTGGTTCAGGTCAAATGAAGTGTCTCCGATTATCCTTTTCTTTCACATACCAAAAGCTTGCAGCCGGGTACTTTAAGAGAACAGAAAATGGTAACTTGTCAAATAAGCTGCTCTCTTTTGGGATTCTCTGCACAGCAGGCTTTCTCACCTGAGGTGAATCTTCTCCAATCCAGCATCTGCAAGGTCATCATTTGCCCTTTGATGAATATCTCTTTGTGTTTCAATCTTGTGATCATCAGATAAACCATCCACTTTATGGATAAAGATTTCAAAATTGATATCTGGATTCACTTTATAGGCTCTGGTAACAGTAAGATGCAGCCGAGCTAATGCTTCCATATAATCATCCTAATGAAGAAAAAAGAAAAGCTACAACTGTAGGAAAGTTCTTAAAATATATATGTAAAATTTGACAATACTTAATTTTAGATAATGCTACAGTTCAGCAACAGCTTAATTTGTTTATTTCTTGTAAGCAGAAGCCTGAGCCTACATCCAGCATGTGCACCAATCTCATGCTGTCAGCAATCAGATATATGACCAAGAACCTGGAGGTTAAAGCAAATTAGTTAACTTTTGAACATACTGTAGAGAGATTAAAAATACCCAAGCAGCTCTCTGGGTTTTAGTGACTTTCTTTCAATGCGTGTCTGTGATATAGGTTACTTATTTGTTTGGAAAAAAAATCTAGGTTTTCCAAACCATTTGCCTACTGCTGAAAGAAGAAAACAAAAAGGTAGCTTAAAGCCCCTTTTTTACCTGAGAATCAATAACAAATATCAGTGCTCCAGTGCCTCTGAAAATCATCTCATAGTCAAACGTAGGGTCGAAGAAGTCAATTTGCCCAGGAAAATCCCATATCTGAAAGTTGACAAAGGAGCTGTTGGAAACATCTTCTCTGCAGATCTTGTTTGTGCTCTCCAAGAAGAGAGTCTCATTCGGCGACATTTTGTGAAAGACAACTTTCTGAATGGAAGACTTCCCACTTCTTCTCAATCCCATGAGGAGGATTCTCGGCTTAACTTCAGTACTGAAGGGATCATTGAAATCCAAAACTGAATAAAATCACACAAGAAGAAAAGTAATATAATATGGCAACATAATTAGCAACTGCCAGATAAAATGCATTTGACATTTATTTTTCTGATATTGTGACTTGGATATATGCAAATGTTACCATCTTTAAGCTTATGGAGAGGTTATAGGGGCATTTTAATTTGAATGATTTGCCCCTTTAGGTTATAGTATCAGAAAACCTATTTCTCACTTGTAAGACAGAGACTGGAGAAGGCCCGTTTGCTCAGTTTGTATCTGAAAAATGTGTTGTCGCACACAGACATCCTAAAATACCTGATTTTAGTCTAATTAACACTATCCCATATACATTCTTCTTTAAAAGAATATCATCTGTAACAAATACCCTTGTCAACTGACAGCTAAATCATGCTGCTGGAAGAAACAAATGTTTGTGTTAGTTACATCTGTGTCATCTTCCTAACCCTCTGTGAGGGCCTCCTTCCTCTTAAATACATAAATAAAGTAAATAAATAAACAAATAAAACCCCACATCCCAGGAGTCATAGGAAGAGGACAACTGAACAAGCACAGAGTTCCTCTCTGTTGAGACTTACAACACAGTACTGAGCTCACAAGGAGTCCTTTTCTAAGGTGCTTAGGATTTCAACTGCTGTTGAATAATTTAAGTTGTGATCTGTAAAAGTTTGTTTTCTAATAAATAAGATTACAGCATATCCTCTGTCTATTTGCAAAACAAAGGCCTGGGAACACAGTGACATCATTGTGTTACCTATGCCAGTTTGAAACTGATAGCGCTAAACCAGAGCATAGTGCCATCGAAGTTATATTATCATAAAGGTAGTTAAAAGGAGTGAACTATACTGTTGTATCTGTATAAGGACATGAATGTATCCACGCCTGTAAGCACACAAACTTCAGTTTCAGGTATCTCTAATAAAAACAGCTACAGCAGTCTAAATTGCTGCATTTAGCTGGCCTGTAACTTTGAAATGTCCTTCGGTGCTTAGCTGGAAACAGTACTGCACGTAGATGTAAGAAGTTTTCAGACACCTCTGTGATACCGTGTGTGTGGTGTCAAAGACAAGGAATGCAAAAAACATGAGTTTTCAATGAGTTGTCCATCTACAGAGTAGGGCTCACAGCACACAGTGGTCAGGTTTAAAATACTAATTAGACAAGAGGCTAAGCACACTAGCTGTCAGGCAGACCTTCACCCACTGCAGCACAGACTTTTCAAAATAATTACACTTCTTTCTTTTTCTTCTGGGATAAATGTTGAATTAGACGAAACCAACACACATCAGTTCACACACATGCTTCCTGCACATGCCCTGCATATGTTACCAACTTTACACCAAAAGTAGAAAGAGCCAAACCAAGAAACTCAGCAACAACAACCTGAACCTGTTCATTTATTACATAGCCTTATGGGCTAAAAAACATGGAAAGCTTGAAGGAATCCTTTAGGAGCATGTTCTGCACCTAGGGGTGGTGGTCACATCTGTCTTCTTGTGTTCCTCAAGCCTCACTCGCCAGTTTTAGAAACACAAGAGCAACACATACCTAACAGGAGAGCAGACAACTCAGTCTGTGCCTCCTGAGCTTCAGTTAGAGAATTAGGGCTTCTCAACTAAAGGCCTTGCAGTGTTAGCATAAAACATCCCTTGGCACCATCTACTGGCTCCTGAGTGGTTATGCCACTCAATGTGGGCCCATGTCACCACAGTGACTGACAGGAGTTAAAAACTCACTATCAGTGGGATCCTATCCATTTTAAATACATTTGAAAGGCCTTGACAGGTATTAGCACTTACTGTGCTCTTGTCAATTACCACACAGAAAACACTGCCAGGCTGGAATAGTATGCAGATGAAACTCCTTCAAGCAGAACAGCAATAGGTTTTCTACTATTCATAAGAATGTCATCGTCCTTACACAGCCATGGCCAACTTTTGCTGATCCACAGACAACAAATTTAGTAAGTAATAAACTGCTGCTCTACTCTTCCTGTCAACCTCAACAGTGATAGTACCCTCCTGTGGCTGCAAGAAATGTGGCTGCAATACTTCATACCTATAGAGGAATAGTAAGCATCTGCTCTAGGCTGACATAATAATACTTTATGTTTGGTGGGTACCATCTTGTCAATAAAGCAAAACAAAGGTAAAGGACTTGACAGTGTTTCCTCCACCCCACTCTCTTCTTCAACGCACAATTTTTCCACAGCTGCCAAATGCAGAGTCAATTTCATTAATGTACATCTACCCATACATCATGCAATTTGCATTTTGGCCATCAGAAGGGAAAATAATTTATTCAAAGCTTTATAATAACTTTATAAAGGCATGTGAAGACCAGTCTTCTGGTTGAAACTTTACTGCATGTTTCAAAAAGCTGACCTCCCTTTTGCTCTGTACACAAGAGATCTTGCGAAGTCTAATTTGCTGGAGGTTTGCACTTTTTGTCCCCTTCCTCTCCCCACCACAATAACACCAACTTCCCCCTGTATGTCTTACAACATATCCTCCAAATAACAGATATGACATGCTGTGGCTGATCTGGAGCTCAACACATAGTGGTTGGTTAGAATATACATACGTGTCCACCAGTTTGCCCACTGCTGCCACAGAGAATCTGCTCGCCTGTCCCTCTGCGAACACTTCCATTTGGGTTTCTCTTCTGAATGCCAGTTTTCATACAATTTGAGGGAACTTAATCATCTTTGAGACATCTTTCATTCAAATTTTGGTAGACAGCAGTTTTCAAAGCTCTGACCAGTAATGAAACGACTTCAAAACAGACTACTTACACAACTCCCTTTTCTTTAAAAAATAGTCTAAAACCACACATGTATCTAAAAATACATTTTAAATAACTTGGGCTTTTAACACTGTTGTTGTGTTAAATTATTCCAGGCTGTTAGATGTTTATGGACTGTAGTATTTACTAGAAGGAAAATGCTTTATATTAAAGCAATACTAAAAAAAAAACAACAGTTGCAAGTGCAAACAGTTACCGATAAGAATGAATACCAGCTTTTCTGCTAGTAAGACTGTTTATTTAGGTTCTGAAATCCTGCCAGTTCAAAGAGAGGGAAATGTAAATGAGTATCATCCAAACCTGACTAGATAGCAAGGCTGCTATAGCAGTTTCCTCTGAGAGAGAGTTAAGAGATTACCTTATATGTAAAGGACTTGGACAATGCACTGCCTGCCCACATTCCTTTGCAGAGTACATGACAACTCCTCCTTTAATTTGCCACAGAAATGCCAATAGATGGATCACTGCAACTTCCCAGACTAGGTTACTAAGTGATATCATAATATGCTTAAGAGAAACATTAAACTCTCTATAAATTCTCATTAAATTCTCTATAAGGGAAAAATAATATTCCATTGTGCGATTAAACACATTTCCTGCCTCATTCACTTTTGCAGAGTAAATGTTATAAAATGCCAGTTTCTAAGGCGTATCAACAGCCCTTCCTATTTTAAATTTTCTCAGCAGCCTTACTTGAAACTGCTGAAGAATTGCAGAATTATGAAGAACAGAAGTCATGCTGGTTAGAGGCTGCATCCTGAACTCTTCGTTAGGTAGTGGTAGGACAAGGGGTAACCGGTTCAAACTTACACTGCGGAAGTTTAGGTTAGATACAAGGAAGTTCTTTACTGTAAGGGTGGTGAGGCATTGGAATGGGTTGCCCAAGGAACTGTTGTGAATGCTCCATCCCTGGCATGGTTCAAGGCCAGCTTGGATGGAGTCTTGGGTGAAATGGTTTACTGTGAGGTGTCCATGCCCATGGCAGAGGGGGTTGGAACTAGATGATCTTAAGCTCCTTTCCAACCCTAACTATTCTATGATTCTATGAAGTACTCACAAATTAAAGCACTTTCTCCACAGAGAAGCACTTGATTCCTTACAAAATTTCTGTAATTGCAGCAGTGTCCTTGCTCAGGGAGTGCTGTTTGTGTGCCCTGCAACATGCAGAAGAACCCAGCTCTGAGGAGTTAACTGAGAACTGCACATAGGAGTCCTGACCTGTCTCACCAGGAAGCACAGTAACAATGAATATTTTAGTATCTCTTCACACTGTTAGAGATATTAATTGATAACTAAAATAGTTTTTGATGCCCATCCTGAATTCCACATCAATTGCAATTAATTGCCAAAGCAGGTGACTTATCAGTGCTTCACAGGCATGTGTGATGGGGATGCCACAGTGGAGGGTGTATTTGTAGATATCACCAGTTTTCAAACATCCAAATAAAGCACTGCAGTTCATCTGCTCAAGTGACATCAAGACAAAAGAAATTATTTTGCTCATGTTACCATCTGTAAAGTAACAAGCCTCTCTAAGTTTAGTTTTAAACTAATACAGCTAATAATGTTTTGCTCTTTAAGGTTTTTTTCTCCACTAATACAATTATGTTATTTTTAGGCTTCAACCTTTTTGTGTAAAGGAGAATTGGCAGTTCCAAACTTTCCACTCATGTATCTTTGAGCCCATTGATCTCATAGCATTTCCAGAGCTACTGTGACTGTGATAATTGCAGCACTTTGGAGTGCTGTCAAGACACATACAGTGAACATGTTCAACACTAACTGATCGCCTGAGCCAAAACTGTTAGCAGAAAAAGCTTATATACAATCAAGAAAGCTGTTCAGCTACTATGGGTTCATAAACATTGCAGAAATACCTGGCGGAAGGAAATTCTTGTGGCAAAAGAAAATTCTCAGAACCAGAAGACCTGGTTCCACTCTGCCACAAGTGCAGCACTCTGCAATATGTCTTAAAGCTACTTCCTCGAACACTCTGCAGAGGGTTTCCCCTCCTCTGAATACTTTTTAATTGCTTATATCAAAACGTGACTGGGCTTTACGTGAACTTAAGTGCTGTAAGGTCTGAATATGATACTACATGTAAAGAAAAAGAAATAAAGAAAAGTACAAGAGCCATGGGAGACAGGCTGCAGACAAGAAACCAGTATAGGATGAGAAACGACCAGTATGAAGTTTTGAAATCTTCATGCCTACAAGCACAAATTATGCTTTTATTTGTTAAGCCTGGCTTTTCCCTTCACTTTCAGCAACCATGGATTGAAGCTGTTCTCATGTTGCCCTTTCCACTGTTTCTTTGTAGAAAAGTAGAGGCTGTGGCACTGCATTTTGGACTACTTACTGTACAGAACGAGGAAGAGAGAGGACAAAAACTGGGAAAGCACCTTGCTCTGCAGCCCAGTGTTAAATACACAAAACACAGACCTAAATCCTAACACCCTCTATTAGAGATGCCCTATGGCTCTTTCTCCAGAGAATTCAGAATGAAAACCAGGGGATCTGGACTCTTAAAATAGGCCTTTGTTTTAATCCTGTATTAAAAAAAGGTCCCTGCATGGACTGTCTTTCTCCTGCTATTCAGAGTGTAAATGTTTCTGTTATGTATGACAGTCTGGTGTTACTGTGAAGAAGCAACTGAAATTTTTAGCTTAGTCTAACAAAGTTCCTATTGAAAAACATCCAAATCAATTCCTCTGAGGACAGAATATGGATTACTTCTCTACAGAAAATGCTAAGTTAGCTTAGCACAAAAGAAATATGCTAAAAATACATTCACTTTGCATGGGAATAAAGGTAATTCTTTAGCAGCGTCAAGTAAGGCTTTAATTAGTCTCAGCTACAGCTCTTACACCCTAGCATTCCCACAGCCTTTAACCATGCAGGCTTATACTCAAAGCACTGACACCCCCCCCAAACTGCATTAGTCAGGGTGATAATTCTCATAGCAGCTTGTAGGATCGGGCCATTAAGGAAAAGGGTTCTGCATGCTAATAAACAAAGTAGCCTTAAAACATGCAGCCTTTTATTATGCTTTTATAGAAAAGCAATTCTTTTTCACTCTCAGACACCGAAAGTTCTCCAAGCTCCTTTGTAAAATATGTCTCAGAAGAATGAATTCAGGCTCTGAACGAAAGCAACAGGCTCTGAGCTGACATTGCCTATTTTTACTGAATGAGGCTGCTTTCCCTGGTGAGCCTATCCTTCCTAGCATCACCATCCATGCTGACACAGATATGCAGCGCCTAACGTGGGTCCTCATATACACAGACAGACAGCAGACGTTCAGTGGAACCTGCCACTGTGGGGACTGACATTCACAGCTGCAGAGCAGCCCTGGACACGGAGCTGCGTGTTGCCACTGCCCTGTATAGCCTGACACCCAACCCCACCACCTCCCTGGCATATTCAAGTCACTTCATCAGGCCGTGGCCCCTAAGAACTAGTAACTCTCACCCCAGCCATGGAAAACACTGAAAGGAGATTACCCGCACACACATTGCCTGCACTCCTTTTGCTTCCTCTTTCCCAGCCCTTCCTGCTACCTGTCAGCCCTCACCCTGCACCTGCCTCAGAGCTCCATGCTCGCTCTGGCCCCACGGTCGCGCCCTGCGAGCACCCCGTCCCTGTCCTCGTCCTGTCCCCTCCCATGGTCACCAAGCAGCATCCCCCCTCAGCCCGGCCCCCTACCCCGCTCACCCCCGGCTCACCGCGGGTCGTCCTTCCTCCGGACGCCACGTCTCCCCCACAGCGCTCTCCCTGGCTCACCCTCCCCGTACCCCCAATTCCACGGGGAGCCTTGCCTCCTCCCTGACCCACATCCGCAGGCAGGCAGGCAGGCCCGACCCCCGGGAGCCAAACCTCACCTCCCCCTACCCGGCCGCTGACCCGCTTCACCCGCATCTCCGTGGACACGGGGCCGGCCCTGCTCCACACCTCGCCTCCCCCCCACACCCGCGCTCGTTGCCGGCCGCTGCCCCGTAGCTCCCTCTGCGGCCGGGGGCAGCCCCACGGCGGCCGCGGCGCAGCTTCCCGCCACCCCCGGTGACGGTGGGGTCGCCGTGGGTGGCACTCACACGCCTCATCGCCGCCGCTCTCCGCGTCGCCGTCCGAGAAAGACTCGGCCCCATCGGCGTAGCCCGCCAAGCCCACGATCTCCTCCTCCTCTTCCTCCTCCTCGTCCCCCTCTTCCTCCTCCTGCAGCTTCCTCGGCACCTGGCTCATGCCGGCCGCGCTCCCGGCGGGGTTTCGAGGGCCCCTATTCCTCCGGGCAGGCTCGGGGAGCGGGGGGGCCAAGGCACCGCGCTGCCGCCGCTCCCCTCCCCCGCTCGGCGGAGCGCGCGGCGCAGCCTGGCGGCGGGGCGGGAACAGAGAGCAGCGGCGTGACCCGCGTCACCTGACGCGGCCGGTCACGGGCCGGCGGCGCCTCCGCGCTCGTCTAAACCCGGTTCTTAGGCCCAGCCTTGCCGCTGGCAGGCAGAGCCCCTGGCGTTGCGGTACTTACAGGCGGGCTTCGGGGCTGCCGGGAGCCGCCGCTTCCCACCGCGGGCCTAGAAGCACCCGTGGGAGCGGCGCACACATACAACGCTGGCCCTTGCGTGCGGGGGGGGGGGCGGAAGGGTGAAGGGAGCGGCGGTCTGCAGGACGGAAGCTGCTGCTGGTGTGTTTATGACAGGTAGCCTGGCCGTCGGGGCCTCTGGGTCAGTCAAGCCGTGTGCCTCACCCTGCACGGAGCCCAAAAGCGGCTGTGGGGGCACTCCGGCATCACCCCACACGTCCTTCTGCCTTCAGTATGTGGGAGACGGTGGGACTCTGGTCAGCTCAGCTCGCAGATCCACCGTGCCCGCTTGGCGCTGCTTGTGGTCTGTCCCCTGCTCCTTCCATCCTGACCGTGTGGTCATACGGCTAGGTTCAAAATGCTAGGGCAGGCGCTAATGGTAGGTGCTAACATACCTATAATGTGGGTGAGATATTATTTCAGAAATAATGATCTGGATGAATGAGGACTAAAGAAAGCAGTGGGAGTAACCCTCTGAAGAGGATGGGATTTTGAAGACCCTAACAGACTGAGGTGCACTGGACTGCCTGCCTCAGGAATTTCCAGTGCTGCTGCTATTGTCTTGCACCAGTCTGTGCACCAGAGCATGTGCATTAGTCACTGTCTGTCATTCTGTGCTGCCCACTGTGGTGACTGGCAGATGAGTTCCTGATTCTCCAGCAACACATTTTCTTCTGTTTCTTTTTCTCTCGTACTACTTCTTCCTGTCCTGTGCTGTGCCCCCTCCCTGCATTCAGTGTAATGGTTGGACTTACGTTTGGAGTCTCCACGTGTTTCCTGCGGGTGATCATTTTCCCACCTCTACACTGTGTGGCAGTCATATTACCAGGCTTTCCAAGCTGCACTAACACACTTGAGGTAATGGACGCATGCTTTTGTTCAAGAGACGAAGGGGGAGAAATCCCTCTAGCATTCCACACAGTGACTGATTTACTAATACATGAATTGATTGAAATGCTTTTCTTAATTCTCAACAGCTTGAAAGTTTTGCTTTAACAGATTAGGAAAAGATTATGGGAAACATTTCAAAGTTAAATCCCATACAAGGAATTAGGACTTGAGTTTGGAGCAGGATTTTTTTACCACTTGTGTTTTCTGCACTGTGTCTTGGGGCAGCCCTGGGGAGGGAATTCATCTGTGGAAAACTCCTGATGGAAAGAGGAGGAGAGTTTCCAGGTCTGTAATGAAGGACCATCCATCTCACTCACCAGTTGACCACATCTGTGCAGAAAGGGCGTAAGTTTCAAGGCCAGCTATGGGGAGTGTGTCTTGCCTAGAAATGACTGTCTACATTAGCTTTCTTTTATGCTGAGAGGTATGAAACATCACCAGTGAGAGACAGAATAATTTGGAGATATTTAAATACTAAGTCAGGGTGTAGAAGCTCAGGAATGAAAGGACTGGTTACAGTGCAGCTCTTGCCACAATAGTGATATCAGTGGCCTCCTGCTTGACCGCAGCTTCGTCTTCAAAGCCATGCAAATGGTAGGCCCATTGCCAGATAGGTTTTTAGAGTAGAGCTGAAGCCCTTCTGCCAAGCCCTTGGCAATATAATCTGTCACTGACTCTACCTATATAAGCTTCAGGACTTGTTCCTCCTTTGTCATTTTGCCACCAAGTTGTTCTCTGTCCCCTCTGCAACTGGCCATTTCCTTCTTTCTTTTGCATCAGGTCATGTAATTTTGAAGCCAGTTGCATGGTACCCAGCCTTCAGTCACAGAACTTGTAATAAGGGCAGGTAGACAAGGTGGTGAGTCTTTGCATATGCAACATGTGCAGTACTAGATGTGGCTGGACTTCGTCTGTGGGAAGCTGTGGTGCACAGATGTGACATACTTTCTGTTTCAAGCACCTAGGGAATCCCCTCATGAATTTCCTTCCCAATGGTAAAAAAAAATAAATCCAGAAGAATACAAAATTAGCTGTCTGGAGTAAAAAAGGGAACTGTCCCACTGACATCCAGACAATCACAGGAGCCCATCTGCATCTCAGTTTGTAGGATCATGGCAGCGCCTCATCCTGCTTCTGTTAAAGGGGGAAAACTCACATTAAATACATTGGTGGCAGATCACTGCCAAGAAAAGTGTTTTTCTGTGATGTGTTAACATCTTGTTTCTCAGTCATAATGATCAAACATAGCCAAAGCAGTCCTGCAAAAATTTACATATCTGGAACTTATTTAACATACAGCTGAACTGTTACACAAATACTTTGACTGCATCAGAACTAGATGGTGCTGTGATACTTCAGTGTTTTGTCCATGTAGGGCATCATCCTGAGAATGCCCCTGAGCCAGAGGGGAGACCTTTGGAAGCAACTCGCACTGGATCAAAGACTGTTCTAACATTAACTTCAACCAGTACTTTAATAAAGGCATTTTTATCATTTCACACTGCTCGCACAAGCTTGTCTCTCTCCTGTACCACTGTCTACAGGTGGTCCATCTAATTTGCCTCCCTACCAAACGAATTGGTGCTGGTGTGTGAATTACTGACGCACACACATAAACTGCCCCCCCCCCGGCTTTGGTGAACCTAAGGGGTGGGTGAGTGTGGTGGTCAGCAGGCACAGCCAGCTGCCATGTCAGCTCTCTTTGACCTTCAGCCCAGGCTCCAGAGCCCGCTGACTGCCTCCCTGCTGGAGCACGTCTGGCGTCCCCGGCACTGGGCTTGTTTGTACCCCTTCCGCTCCTCCACAGACTATTACGAGGAACAAGTAATTCAGGAGAGCACCCAGCTCTCTAGGAGCCCCTGCACAGCCACAGCCCGGCCTTTCCGACCAGCAGGGCAACTCGTCCCGCTCGAGGCCAGGCCGGTGGTCAAGACCAACCTCCACGCAGGTGCTGGGCAGAGTGGCCGTGTCCCCACGCCTTCCCCGCTTCCTCGGTAGGGAACGGCTGCAAAGGGTCCGAGTCGGGCCTGTCCTGTCACGGCCCCTCGCCGGGGCGCAAGCGGGGCGGGCTGTCGGGGCGCTGTCCGCCCGCCCTCTCGCCGCGGCCGCCAGGTGTCGTCCTCGCAGCGAGCAAGGCGGTGGTGGGGGCGCCACCTCAGGGGCAGCCGATCCTGGCCCGGCCCAACCCGGCCCGGCCCGGCCCAGCCCAGCCCAGCCCAGCCCAGCCCAGCCCGGCGGCGGAGGCGCCGTTGGAGACGGTCGGGCTATGCCCGGCCCCGCGCCTGACGGGGATCGTGTGCCACGGGGGGAGCGCCGGTGAGCGGGGCGGAGCCGCCGAGCACGCGTGGGACTCCAGGCGCGGATCCGCGTCCTCTCGCCGGGGCTGCGTGTGGCTGTGGTGGGGCGGCGAGCGCGTCGTGGCGGGCTGCGGGCTGGCGCCGGGGGCCGCGGAGGTGGCGGGGCTGCAGGTGGGTGCGGGCCTTGCGAAACCAGCGCTCGGTGCCCAAGTAATTAAAAGTGTTTCTTTGTTACGGCCCCGGAGTAGGGTCCGGGGAGGGACCCTCCGGGGAGAGACCTCCCCCCTTTCATGCACACACGAACTCTCCTGGCTGCCGCAATGATACAGGATTCTGTGCCGACGTAGGGGGCTAATTGCAGGTTTGGGGGTATAAACGGGGAGCTTTACTGTTCTTTTTCCAACTTTGAAGGCTGCGTCTGATGAGAAATGGACATCTGGCTCCAGGTCATCCTTCCTGTTGTTGACATCACCTGAAAACTCCACTGAAAATATTTCCACTAGTTTACTGCAAACATCAGCTCCCTCTGAAGGCTCGAAACCTTGTGAGTATAGTCTGGCTGCCGGGAGAGATCTCTGGGTTTAGAAATCCATGGCTACAGTGTGTAATTGTTCTGCAGTGTTCATTTTATTGCAAGCACTAATAAAGGGCTTATCATGCCCTAGGGTGTTGTGTGCATTACAGCATAGGCTGTAGACAGTGCTTTGTTTTTCTTGAAAGGCATAACCGATATATTTTATAATTATGTGTGAAATGGTTATTTGTGTTTCTGTTTGATATTTCTGCAATAAATATGACCAAAAGGACATGTTGTTTTATACTGAATACCTTTCATTCACAGGGAAAACACTGAGAGGGGTAGAAAGTGTCATACTGGCAGGTGGATCAGTGAATCTTCCCCCCAGATTAGTTGTTTAAATGAACTTAGAATGTCCTACCAATATTAAAGAAGAAATCTATTGGAAAGATCAACAAATCTGTCTTGTTCAAAAGTGGGAAAATGTAAGACTAAATTCTTATGCAGCATTAATTAGGAATGGTCTGGACCCTCTGAAAAGGACAGTTTGAGTGTATGGCTTATTCTCAGAAGAATGTTATTTAATTAACTTGCTTGCTTTCAATGTAGTATGTCCAGGTGTGCAGCTAGTTTTATAGTAACTTATTTTGGCAGGCTCAAGTTTCAAGTGTTGTGTAATCTTCATTCTCTAGATACTTGGAAAACAAAAGTGTTTCTGGAGATGTATGATTATGTGTAAGATCTGCAGTTGTGTTGCAGACCACGAGATGTGGCATGCTTCAATTTAGAACTCCATAAAAATTTCTGAGCAGAAAATATGAGTTACATCTACTGAATGTACCAAAACTCCAGTTGGCTGGCTAGATAAAGTATTAGGTACCTACCTGCCTTTAGATTTCAGTGAGAAGTTAAAGATACAAATGCTTATTTAGATGCCTGGTGTTAAGATGATGTATGCCTGTTTGTGTCAATGAGGACCTATTAGCCTGCCAGAGTGGAGGGGAATTCTGTAGCATCTCATTGCTTCTTTCCCTGTTGTTCGTTTGAAAAGAAATTGTAATAAAATTCAAAAGTCGTTTTGTAATAGTACTCAGCTGGGAAAGTTTTCAGTTTCCCCTATTCCTTGATACTTACCCAGAGAGTGATGTCAACCTCATGTAGGAGACTGGCTTTGAACATTAGAAACGAAATGATCAGTAAATGATTGGTAAAAATAAAGTGATCAACCTCCTGATCATCCAGGTGCTTTTCTTCATGCTTTTCTCAGAGTTGTCTTTTCTGAGGAGCAGAAACTGGGGGAAGCTGGATCCACAAATGGGGCTTTGGTGTTTGCTGATATAATGTAGTTGCAGCACCAGGATTAGCATCTTGCCCTGTCACACATGGCATGTTCTGGAGTTTGGACCGTCAAACTTACGTTCTTGGGCTCAACAAGATGAATAATATCTTAATAAGTAAGGTGCTTGTACAGTACAGTAATGAGTGATTGAGCCTTAAGCTGCATTTCTCTACCTCTGATTTTGCCAGTGAGTCGTTTAATGATGTAAGAAAGAAACCTTGCTGCCCCTTACTCTCTGAATCTGATTAATAGGACTATCAATATCTATCTGCTGGAGGCTGGGGTAACTGTGAATGTTTGTAAAGCACTTCTAGGTTCTTAAATTAATTATAGTATCTGTCAGCTACATTTTATTTATTTATTCTCATTAGTTTCAGATTTGTAATTCTTCTTTTTCTCTCAACAGTTAGGACTTTGGATGCACTTCCAGAGAACTCATAGTCCTATATTTTCTTAGAGATACATCAGTGCAACATGTCATTAGTGGAAGTATTTTATTTAAAACCACAAATGAGGTACCATATTTCACTGGCAAGATTGGCCTACAGAGATGTTTGTCAAAGACATACATGAGTTGCAATTGCTTTGGGCAAATAAAATAAGTAATTTTAGCGCATTTTGTTTATTAAGGCATGAAATACATGCCACCTTCAAACATGATCCAACCAAAAGTAAAAAGTGTAGAGCTGCACTTTGGCAAGACTTCAGTCCACAGCAGTATAGCAAGGGACTAATTCTTTGCTTCCTGTCCAGCTGTTTTGACCCCCAAAATCTCCAGAATAATTTCTGAGTACAATAATAGCAGAAATTCTTGCATACCGTTGCTAGCTTGTGGACCTTCTAGGAAAATCTCAGTTACTTCTGTCTTGACTACTTCACTCCCTGTTAGCAGATACTGCTGAAGAGCGCTTTGTTGCAGTATATTCACAGCAGTTGTGAGAGAGAAAAGTGAAATCCTGAAATCTCCTGCATCTTGCAGGAGACATAATTCAGTGACCTTTTGCTGAATTATGTGTAATGACTTCTTTCCAATTTTTTTCTCCTCCTCTTGTCTGTGTTTGGTTTATCTCATGCTGCCATTTAAAAGACTATTGGGCTTGTGAAGGCAGGTGTTCAAATGGTAGGATGAGCCAGAGTAAACATACGTGAATTCCTGGCTTATTTGTTGCATAGCTTTCAGATGCATGTGTGTCAGGAGGTTCTCTGTACATTGCTTCTTTGAAGGACATGGTTGTACATGCCACAGTGATGCTCTGTATTGAAGGTGGTGCTAGTTTGGCCGTAGAAGTATTTTTACTGTTTTTTGTAAACTCCTTGAGGTCCAATTGCAGATGTACAGGTCTTGACAGTGAAGCAGGGAAAGATACTGTTGGTGTGCAGTAGTTCAATACCAGGGCAAAGAATGATGAAGTGAGTACGTGATGAAACAGTGATGAAATGAGTAAGAGTCAGTTTAAGTCTTGTTTTAGAGAAGTGTGTGATAAGTGACACATTAAGGCTGCACAGGATTTTGAGGTGAACAGAAATGTAGCACATTACTACTAATAGTTAATCTGGTGTATTGAAAGAGGGAGATGTCCTGTGAAAGCAGTCATGTTGTGACAAATGAATCGATGTTGTGTGGCCTGACCAATATTGTACAACAAGTTGAATTCTTGCGTTACCTAGTTGTGGAGGGGTTGTCTAGGTAACCTCTGTGATGTACTTCTGATGCAATACTGAGCATAGGTAGCTCAAAATATGATGCAGTACTGTAGATTGTTGGCTTGTTCTTTCACCATTTTACTTTTGATCCTTTGTTAGTGATCCGTGGGCACTGTAGTGGGTTTGCCCTAATCCTGAAGAAAAATTTATTTGGTCTATGCCAAAAGAGTCCAAGCTTTTTTCTTCTTCTTTTTTTAATCTTACGTTCTGATCCAAAGCATATTTGGAGTATTCTTCATATCATGAAATCTTACCCCCTTCAAATCCTGGTTTAAAACAAGCTGCTTCTAGCAGTCTATCCTTTACTTTCCCTTTCTCTGTTGTGACTTGCTTTCTTCCCCATCTGTTTTTGTTAAGTGAGCCACTGAAGATAGAAGTTTTTGGGTGCATGACCTGGCATGGTGTTGGATGAAGGCATTTTCATTTGCATTATGGAAAATGTATTTGGATTTGTTGGGAATTGATTCTGTAAGGGTGTGCATCTTCATTGTGTCTGCATTGCAGTGGGATCATTTCCTTTTCCAGTTTGAGATGCTGATTGCTTTAAGCCAGTGAGGTTATTTTCTGTTAGTTTTAACAGCATCTGCAATGTGACATCTTAGCAAGACCTGTTGCTTGTCTATTTATATTGTGCTGATATACTTCAGAGTCAAAATTCCCCAAATTGTCTCAGTTGGGTTGGTCACTGAGGAGAACGCCAGCTTTTTAAAATAAAAAAGCACCATGAATGTATGGTAATCATGTATTAGCACAATATTTGAGTAACGTTTTAATAGTGATCACAGTGAATCATTTTAGGTATGTTTTACTTTAATAAGAGTTTGATGTCTGTGCATGTGCTATGGCTGCAGAAATTGCAGCTAGTTCAGAGTCTTGGGCAGGATGTCGTCTTTTCACCATATCGCTACTGTCTCAAATAATTGCACTAATATTTGCAGGGTATACCAGTTACTTAAGTCAGATCATTGGTGTATTGTAAAGCTTACATAGTAGTAGTTTTCCTTAATTTTCTTTCTGTCCACTTTTGTGATTAAACTGTGTCTGGCTGAAGTCTTTTGAGAGGATTTAAGGATGTGGGGACAGGGGTTGTCTTTATTCTGGCTGTGGAATTATCTGCTTGCCATCTGCAGTCTGTCACTGACATTACTGTTCTGGTTTAAATCCAGATTTTGAAAGTGCAGCACTTTCTTATAATTTTGTCTTTTCCAGACTTTACAGCAGCTTCTGATTTCTTGCAAGTGTGGTGTTTTTTTTTTCATAGCTTTTCACAGCTTCTGTAAAATCAGGCCATCCTTTTTCCATGTGCGCCTTTTTTCCCTCTAAGTAGAAGTGGTATTGGTCTTAAATCTTAAATTTTTTCTCTTTTGTAATACTGTGTTATAAGTTGAGCCTTTGACTAGCCACCAGGATCTAAAGTTTGCATGTGTGGAAGCACAAGAAGTTCAGACAGATTTCTGTGGGCAACAAAACTGTTGCATCTGTGTGCAATCTGTGTTCACTGTCTTCTCATTGAAGAGTGATGGATGGTGGAGTTGCAAGCAGATGTCACAGCAGATTCTGACTAGCTTGTTTTTAAATTTCAGAGTAAGAATAAGATTAAATGTTACGCTTTAACTTGTATCATGTTATCATTTTTGTATGCTGTCATATGGTGCCCTACAGGTAAATGGAGTCTCTACCCCCAAAACCTGGTAGCATGAGAAAAGCTCAGAGGCAAGATGCAGTTGGAAATTGATTTTCCTCCTGCCCCTGTGTCACGCTGCCTGCAATATCCACTTCTTTCACAGGTTTAGGTTCTCTTAGACATGCTGAAATCCAGTCTCTGGACTTGTTAGGTTTGTCAGATGCCCCCCCTCTCCTCCTTCCTTGAAAAGAGATTGTGGAGGATCACATGTTCTAGCCCTTGAACAAATATAAATTTGCTCCAGCACAGGAGATGACACCCCAGTTTTAATGTGTGATCATTTCTTCCAGAGGTGTGCTAGTTT